TTTTGACCAAGCTTGAGATAGAGGAAGAAAGCACAAGTTGCAAATAGCGAGGAAACTGCCTTATTAACCTTTAATTTATTTCGGCTTTTAAATGATCGGCAGTACAAATTTCAAAAATTAGGAAAATTTTTAGATATTTCACCGAAGCAAATTGAAAAAAAATCAAAGGCAAAGCCAAATTATCACTCTCTTCGTGGAGTCTAAGCTCAATAAAGAAAATCATTCTGATAATATCTACTAGAGCAAACGATAGTCCGAGCCTTTTTTCATCGCCCTTTGGATGGCTTTTAGCGACCTAAAAAAAGCGAAAACATAAAAGGTTTTCTAGAAAAACAATACGCTGGCGCACAAGCGAAGATTAAGCAAAAACCCTATAGCTAAAATCTTACTGCCTTTTACTGCCTCTCGTTGGTTATGTATTAATTTTTAAAAGAAAGAAACTCATAACATAAACAGTTTTTGTTTGGAATAGTCCTAAAACGAAATCATCCCGCTTTATTCCGCTTTTAGTATGTTGGCTTCTTCTGTGTTATTTCTTACTACATTTCATTAACCTTAAGTCTTTAAAGGAAATTTGCATTAGATTATGTTTCATTTTAAGGTACATTCGTTTCACGAAAGGGTGCCCTAGTGAGGAGTTCTCGTTCCTTCTGTAGGCGAGAACCTCTGCGGTCTTCATAACAGGTGCGTCTCGGCACCGATAACTCTAGAAAGATATTGTATTCTTTGGAATCAGTTGACTCAATTGAGACGTGAAAAAACTTGCTTAATATGACCGAGTTGTTTACAAAGGCTGATAAGACCTCGTAGATACAAAAATATTTCAAAAGTCTAGAGTTTCAAGTGTTTTATCGTGTTGTAATCATTTCAACTTCTCAAGCTTTTCTGAGCCCAGCATGTGTCCTCAAGACCAGTAATTACTTACTCACAATGAAATGTAATCAGTACCAAAATCTCTGCATCATCTAAGAGTTCCTATTCATTTATTCGCGAAATAGAACGGTCCTAGTTTATAAAGAATGCATACTTATTAAATTCTTGAAACAACCAGCCTGACTGTAATGAGAATCGCAGCATCCTGTTTGAAATGAATTCAGACGAAAAGAAAACACACTTTAACGAACCGAGGACATTCGAGTTCATCAGTTTTATTACCTGTATTCCTCTATATGATGCTCCATCCTCTTTTGTAAAATTCACCTGACTCGCAAATCGGTCCGAGCCACTTAGCTGACATCTACTTGTCTCCTTTTCATGGATGGGAAGGAAGTTGTATGACAAACATTGATCCTCAGAGACACATGCAAACTGACAAGATATTTCAGATGCTACTTCAAAGTCTCTGAGGACACTCCCGTTGAGTTTTTGATCGTTTATCGCCTTTGCGAAATTAGCAGACTTAAAATCTGGCTCCAAAAAACGATTTGAAGCTTGTGCGAGGCCCATAAGTGCAAACATCAATAGGGCCCATAGGTACATGTTTCTTTTTTCCAATGCTGACCTCGACTAAGATCGCACTCGCTGAATCAGCAATGTGGTGAATCTAAACTAATCAAATTAAACTAATTAAAACTACCCCGATTCATAATTAATGACCTCATTCGAGGTGAAACAAAGAGGTGCCATTGCTACGATTTTTACAACATTTAACCATTAACTTCTCAATAAATATGCATGTTTTATGTCCTTCAAAATAATAATCGTCATTTACAGCAACACGATTGTTAAATTGGTTATTCTCTTGGCATCTAATCATACAACTGCATTAGTATTACGTTAGGCAATGACCTTGCAGGTAAGCTGCGATTTTAGCAATAGCAGAGAAGCCTAAAATGATTAGGTTACGACGGGAATCGAGCTGTTGCCTCTCGAATACTTGAGAGCCTTAACTGAGACTACGAGTTTTGGCCGAGAGTAGAGTGGCACTAGTCCCTCGTGGCCGTCATCGGCCATGGCGAATCCTTAACTTGAGATAAACATGATGTAACACACGAGAGTGTAGCTTTTTCAGAATTAGGAGAACACTTCACAGAGACGTCAGGCCTTACTGGATATACCTTCTTTGCAATATAATTTCATTCGTTGAATAATATTGTTCGCTGAAAAATCTTGGTTTATTCGATAAAAAATATTTTTATTCCATAAGAAATACTTTCATTCGATAAAAAATATCGTCATTCGATAAAAAAAAAATTTTATTCCATAAAAAAATATCTTCCTTCGACTAAAAATAATATTATTATTCGGTAAAATCACATGGTTAGCTTAGCCCTGGTCGCTGAGCTAGAAAGCCTTCGTTTTGCTGCTACTTTAGGAAGCACGAGCCAACGACTGAACTTGCAAGTTGGTCAGGTAGTGAACCGTGCGAGGGACATACTGCGGTACAACGGCTCCACATTTAGCCGCAATGCTCCCACATCATTCCAAGCTGAGTCAACATTACATGGTTCATTTCCCAAAATACTTCGACTGGCAGGGGCCTCACGTCATAGAAATGTTCTGCCAAAAGAGGTTTGTAAAACATGCAGTTGTACACATGGAAAAAACTGTCTTCAAATGAAAACCCTTTGACCCATGATGAGATAATCTGTTTGGCTCAAGTCGATTTCCTCTCAGATGACGATGAACAACAGAAGCAGCAAAATATATTGGTCATCACTAAGCTTACCATGTGATTTTATCGCATAAAAACTTTTTTATAGAATGAAGATCTATTTTTATCGAATACAAATATTTTTTTATGGAATGAAAGTTCAATAAATCAAGGTTCTCTAACAAACAATTATTTTAACGAATGAAATTATATTTTGTCAAATAAAAATATGTTTGATCAAATAGAAATATATCTTATCGAACGAAAATATATTTCGCCTAGATAAAATATTTTTATCCAATAAAATTACATTTTTACTACATTTTGTTCCATTTCGGCAACCACGGTAGACGAAAGAAATATGAAGACATGTGATTCTTTTTTCATCCTGTTGAGGTATTTTAGTGAAAATGGTGTTATTAATAATATTTAATAATATTAATATCATTATTATATTAATGCTATTTCTTGTATTCAGTAACTTCTTCCCCACCTTGCAATTATTTTTCGTTCAGTTGTGTAATTACCTAGAAGGTTCTTTATTCTTCCTTGTATCACTGCTTCTGTGTGAGTGCCAGATAGAACGTGTCACGCGAAATAATTCACTGTATGAAAAAACCTGGACATATTGCGAACCAACATAATAACCAGCTACAACTTGGCTCGTTAACTCAGTTGGTAGAGCACTGCACCGGTATCGCAGAGGTCATGTGCTTAAAACCCGTACAGGCCTGAAGTTTTTATTGGTACGATTTTTCCACTATTGCTTGAGTAGGATTCAGTATCGCGAAGATCGCTTTCATATTCATCACATCTTATTACTAAAAACTACAATAACGTGAAATAATTCATACTTTAAGTCTTTAAAATCACACGTAACCAACAGACGTTATGCATCGATCAATTCGAAGCTTCAACATCGCCTTCCCAGTGCCAGAGCTATGTTCAAATGCCCTACCCAAGAGCCAGATTTGCTGGTCAACTTTTTTTGGTAAAGGGCAAAATCAGCGACTGCATCCCAATCCTCCTGGGTTTTTTTCCTCCTCCGCAACTATTGCACCAGCAGCTGAACACCTGAGAAAGGCTATCTTTTTCTATTAAGTTTGATCCTCCAGTTTCTTCGCCACTAAAAACCAGCTTATCAAGAATCTGAGAACTGTTATATCTCAGTACCTCATTGTTTATTACTCGTTTAACGTGATTTGAAAAAACTTGTTTAAACCGACCTTAGAATCAGGGCTCTACTTAACAAATAGATTCCAAGTTGCCGTGCGTCTGTTCAGTAATAGATCAC